GTTGTCTGAGGGAATTTGTCCGCTTCCCATTTAAAAAAAAAAAAAGGTATCTAATCTTTTGAAATCACATATAGAATATGCCACTGTGGTTTTTTTCCCCCTTCTTTTTCTTTTCTTTCTTTCCTTTTTAAAGATTTATTTGTTTATTTTTTTGTTGTAGTTTTCATCCTGGGACTTGAAACCTCTGTCGGCCATGTGGAAATCCAGCACCCTAACCATCATGCCACCTGCTGACCCCTTATTTATTTTTCTTAGTAGTGTTAAAGGAGATGCAGGTGGGGCCAGCAGGTGGTGTGGTGGTTGAGGGCGCTGGACTCCCATGTGACCCACTGCGGTTTGAGTCCCAGATCTGGCAGCTTGCTCTCTCACTTTCCCTCCTCTCAACCTGTCTCTCTCTGGTCAAAATAAAATAAAGTTAACTAATTTTTTTTTTTGAGAGGTTTTTGCTACAGGGTGCGTGCGCTCGCCAGACAGACACAGAGACAGAAAGCGAGAAATCACCCCCCAAGGGGGATGGTCACGCCACAATCCCTTCTCCTCCATTCTCCTCTTGGGATCTTGGGCACGCACGCACACGCGCCCGGCATGAGATTTAAGCCACCGGGTCCGGGATGCTAACCGCAGTCAACTACGTGGGAGTCCAGCAATATAGCCATTACGCTAATTGCTGGTTCCCCCAATTTTTTTTATAAAAGAGGAGATGTAGGTAATAAATACGTGAGCAAAGGAAAAGGCCAGTTTGTGTATGTGCATTTTTGTAATCTGCTCTAATCCCACATACTTGTTTCTTCTTCCTCTTGACTCGCTGTAGCTTATCTGCTTATCCCTTCAGGAAAGGTTTTCCAGAGGAGTGAATGGATTTTGTGTGTGTGTGAGGGACAAAGCACGAATCTCTGGAAATTATGTGTGGAATTTTCTGGCGATGGTTCTAGTTTCCAAAGGGGACAGGTTCTCCTAAAACGGTAATAATCACATGACCTTGGTATGTTGATTTAAGCCTGTTTTCCTCAGTTGAGAAGCTGCCTCAACTTCTTCATATTTAGAGTGAGTAGCTGAAGGGACATTTAAAAAACAAAACAAAACAAAACAAAACAAACTCCTGTCATCATGAAGCAATGTGCTCTAGGCTCTGACCACCTCGTTGTTACCCTAGGTCATCACTCCTGAAGAAATTATTCACCCGGATGTGGATGAGCACTCGGTGATGACCTACCTGTCCCAGTTCCCTAAAGCCAAGCTCAAGCCAGGGGCTCCTCTTAAACCGAAACTCAACCCGAAGAAGGCCAGGGCCTATGGCCGAGGTAAGTGGTGGTGCTGTCGGATCTGAGGCGTGGCCCGACGTTGCAGAGTTGTGACACTCCAGGAGTGTGCTCAGAACCACGAGTGTGTGCGTGGGCCTAATCCTTAGAGTCCCCGGCCTGCTGCTCAGTTATTTACCTACGGGTCATTTAATCTAGGGCCACCTCACTGTGAATCCAAGGCTTAAGGAAGGCTTCCACTTTTGCTGCTTCGGATTTCCGGTGCAGTAACCCTGGGACTGAGTAACCCTGGGGCTAATCATTCCCATTTTTCAGGGATGGAACCAGCGGCCTGGCCTGTGAAGGGGGCAGGGGCGAGGGCCTAGGGCGCCTGGCTGCTGATAAGCTTTTCTTTGAGTTCTGCTAAAAGAAAATGGAATGGGATGCCTCCCATTCCACAGCAAGGCTTCCTTGCTAAGACTTCCTGTTTATGACTCCAGGGCAGTGGCAGGGCACCTTTCTGCTCAGAGCATTGTGGGTGGGTCAGTGAGTTGTGGGTCAGTGAGTCGTGGGTCAGTGAGTTGGAGCCACTTCAAAGCAGTGGGGGTCCGAGTGGCCCCAACTTCAAGCACTCCAGGGTTTTAAAGAGAATGGCTGCACAGCGTGGCTTTTGGTATAAAGGTCTATGCAGTGAGGGACCAGCAGTTAGCGTAATGGCTATGTCGCTGGACTCCCATGCAGTCAACCGCAGTTCGTGTCCCAGACCCGGTGGCTTAAACTCACGCTGGGCGTGTGTGCGTGTGTGCCCAAGATCCTGAGAGGAGAATGGAGGAGAAGGGATTGCAGTGTGGCTATCCCCCCTGGGGGGTGATTTCTCGCGTTCTATCTTTCTGTCTCTCTCTGTCTTTCTGGCGAGCACACGTGCCCTATAACGGGAAAAAGAAAAGTCTGCGCGGTGAGATGCAACTTACAAACTTTTCTTTGGGGAGGGAGGGAGTGTATTTTATGTCTTAATTACAGCTGGGGTAACGTTTATACATAACAGTATCATGTGTATCTTCGCCCATATCGGCATTTCTTACCATTCTCAGTGGTTATCTCTTGCCGTGTGTGAGTGTGTAATGTGTGTGTGTGTGATTATGGGATTATTTGAACCAAAACTGTCGGCCTGGTGACAGTTTCCTCTTCAGTATGTGAACAAGCCTCTCCTAAGAATGGGAGATCCTTGGAGACAACAGTGTTACCCTTGCTCACACAGAGATAGGCGATATTTTATATTCTCTGGTATCCACTTTGTATTTACACTGCCCTGTTGTTCTAAATTGTCCTTTATAGTTGTTAACAACCATGTCTAATTGAGGTCCACTTACTACACCTGTCATTTCTCTTTCAACTTTTAAAATACAGAGTAATTCCCCCAAATCTTTTTTTTTCTTAAATTATTTTTTTAATTTACGATTTTTGGCATAGGGTGCATGTGCTCGCTGGAGAGAAAACAAAGAGGGAAAGTGAGAAATCCCCCCTCTACCCCTGGTGGGGGGATGACCATGTAGCAATCCCTTCTCCTCCATTCTTCTCTTGAGATTTGGGGCGCATACCTGTAAATGTGCCCAGTGTATTCCTCAAGCTTCCAGGTCTAGGACTTGAACCTTGGAGTTGGCCTTGTGGGCTCTAGTGCCTTAACCACCATGCCACGGCCTGGCCTTCCCCAAATCTTCACAAGTTTTTTAAGAAATGACATTGACTTTCTGAGAGTCCAGGATACGTGTCCTGCAGGACGCCCCGGACACACACTCCCTTTGCAGAGAGCATTTTCCTGCTTGGCGTCAGCTGAGGCTCAGGAGGAGACGTGACGTGGGCAGTGATCCTGACGCTGTGCTCTTCCCAAGTCTCCATCCGGGTGGGCATGTAGTTCTGGAACAGACCCACTTGCCACTGATGGTCCTGGGTGGCAGTGAGGTGGGTGAATGTGGTCATTTGTGCTGTCTGATTTGTCCTCCAAAAGTTCCTGTCATATTATAAAACTATGCATAGAGTCATTTATTTAAAAAATTATTTTATTAAACTTTATTTATTTTAATTTGACCAGAGAGGGAGAGGGAGAGAGAGAGAGAGAAAGAGAAAGTGAGCGAGAAAGCTGGGACTCGAACCACAGTCAGCCATGTGGGAGTCCAGCGTTCTTAACCACCATACCACCTGCCAGCTCCTATGCATACATCTTAAAACATTTTGTGCCAAAATAAATTTGTACTTTCATACCACCTTCTTGTGAGCTTTATAAAGTCCCCCTGGGTAGAAGCGGTTTTTTTGAAGCGCTCCCCTGTTCGCGGCCATGTAGAGCCTGGCATGTCTGCAGTCGCTTCCAAAGTGTTTTCTCTAAGCCATGACTAGTCGTGGTGGCTGGAATAACGAATCTGACTTTAAAGGTTATGCTTCTTTAATGCTAATCAAGGCATAAAATGCTTGTTTGTAATAGCCTTATCACTGGCTGGCCAGCTTCCCCATTGTTAATGTGAGACGGTTTCCTTTCTGGTTCTGTTTTCTAGAAAGTGACCACTTACGGTTCAGGGATGTGGCTGCTCTTCGCCGTTTCCTTCATCTGCTTCTTTGTAAGCTTTAAGCACTTGGGGGATGAAAGCTACTTTTTTTTTTTCCCCGTTGTATATTTATTTATATATGCTTTTTTGGTAGTTTTTTTATTGTGATCAAACTCAGTTCTGTGGCCTTAAGTACAACCATAGCCATCACTACCATCCATATCTAGAACATTTCCAAATTCCCAAATGCAATTTCATACTCATTAAGACCTGACTGTTTTCCCCTCCCCCCAGCTCCCAGTCCCCTCTTTGCTACTTTGTCTCGGAATTAGTCTAACGTAGTTACTTAACTTAGAGAAGCGGCATTATATCCTATCTACCGTGTTTGACCCTCCTTCACTTAGCCTGTCTTCAAGGTTTATTCATGCAGCCTGAATGGCATTCCTTTTTAGGGCTGTATAATATTCCACGGCACACACACACACACACACACACACACACACACACACACACTATATTGAGTTCTTCCATTGATCTGTTCATGCACGCCTTTCGCTACTGTAAATGAGGCTACTGTGAACCTGGGTGTGCAAATATCTGAATCCTGCTTCAGTTCTTTTGCTATACCCCTAGAAGTGGAATTGCTAGATCGTATGGGAATTCTGTGTGTGACTCATTTTCTCTCTTTACAAGTAGGAAGACAAATTGGTCGTTGAGGTTGACAGGCTCACAGCATGAGGCTAGGTGGGGAGCTGTGCGACATTTCCCTTGTCCTGAGGTGAGATGAGAGCCAGGGACAGTTTTGCTGTCTCTCCTATGCGAGCACTTTGCTTCATTTTGGCAGCTGAGCCCAGGAGTAGAGAACATTTAACTTCTAGCTGCTTCTTTTTATTTTTTTGGAGAGGTTTTTGCTATAGGGCATGTGCGCTCACTAGAAAGACAGAGAGACAGAAAGCGAGAAATCACCCCCTCAGGGGGGATGTCCACATGTAATCCCTTCTCCATTCTCCTCTCGGGATCTTGTGCACACACACACACACACGTGCCCTTTGTGAGTTTAAGCCATCGGGTCCAGGACACCACAGTCGACTACATGGGAGTCCAGCGACATAGCCGTTACGCCATCTGCCGGTCCCAACTTCTAGCTTCGTAAAGGGCTGAGAGTTCGGTTTAGCTTTCGGAGGTTCAGTAGCTTCCAGTTGCCAGCCAGTGAACACTGGCAGAGCCACTCTCTGAGCCCTGGCTGGCTCAGTTCCAGTTGGTGGAAGGAGAAGGGCTAGGGTGACATCAACTAACAGGGCTCCCCATGGGATCAGGCACGTAGAAAGCATTTATCTATGAGCTAAGCAGAAACCTTTTCCCAAACTGATGCAGCATTGAGAGACCAGTTGTCTGTGCATGGTGAGTGTGGCCCCTCGAGAGCTGCAGAGTTGGCAATCGGTTCAGCTCCCTAACCAAGCAAATTGTTTCTCAGGCTGATGGAGTAGATTTTGAACAGTACTTTAGGTGTATACTCTGTTTATTAGTCTGTATATTTAAGTTTTGCCAGAGGGTGCTTGTACTCGCCCAGAGGGAGACAGCGAGAAAGAGAAAGAGGAAAATGAGAAAGCACCTCCCGTGGCGGATGGTCAAGCAGCAGTCCCTTGTCTTCCACTGCGCCCTTTTGGGATTTTGGGCATGTATGCACAAGCACCTAGTATGTTTCCAAATAGCTGAGTCTGGGATTCAAACTGCATCGTCAGCCATGTGAGATCGAGCCACCTTAACCACCATGCCTCAGGCTGGCCTTAAATCTGTTTATTAAATGACCCGATCTTGATGTATACTTTAAGTGAAAGAAAATGTCATTCTTTTCTTCAAAGTCTGAAAGTATTTCTTCTTCCTCTTCTTTTTTCTTTTTTTTTAAGAGAGAAATTTTTGCTGTAGGGCACATGCATTTGCCGGAGAGACAAAGACAGAAAGAGAAAAATCACTTCCTGGGGAGATGGCCTTCTCCTCCATTCTCCTTTCAGGATTTTGAGCATGCATGCACATGTGCCTGATGTGTTTTAAGCCACTGAGTGTGGGACTTGAACCACAGTCAACTATGTGGGAGTCCAGCGATGTAACCATTATGCCATCTGCTGGTCCTTGCAGTATTTCTTTTTAGAAATAAATTCAGACTACATTTTCTTCACTTTGCCTTTCTTTTCATTTTTTTAAAAAGATTTTATTTTTAAAAATAATTATTTAATTTTATTTATTCATTTATTATTTATTTTTAATTTTTTTTTTGAGAAAGTTTCAATAAAGGGGGCTTGCGGCCGCGCTCGCCAGACAGACAGAGACATAGAGACAGAAAGCGAGAAATCACCCCCCAGGGGGGATGATCATGCCACAATCCCTTCTCCTCCATTCTCCTCTCAGGATCTTGGGCACGCACGCACACGCGCCTGGTGTGAGATTTAAGCCACCGTGTCCAGGACGCAAACCGCGGTCGACTACGCAGGAGTACAACGACATAGCCATTACGCTAACTGCTGGTTCCCTTATTTATTTTTAATTTGATCAGAAAGAGAGAGAGGAAAAGTGAGAAAGCATGCCACCAGGTCCAGGACTTGCACCATGGTTGGCCCCGTGGGCCTGTCCAGTGCCTTTATCACCGCCACCTGCTGGTCCCCCTCACTTTGCATTTCTTTCTTAACAGTCTGGGAACGTAGTGTTATTATTGAGAACCTACCACTATGTTTTCTTCAGTTATTGATTGTGAAATGAATACAAATCTACAGTATAGTAACAAATGCCCCAGTGTCTCCCCAGATCCGATGGCAGGAGAAAAAAGAGGTGGATCGACCTCTAGAAGTTAAATGACACTTAGCAAGCACTTGTAATATGGGAATCTTATTAGGGTCCTATTCAAACTGACTTCAGAAAGTTGGAGCTGCAGGGGTGGCCTAGTAGTCGCATAACAGCTGCTTCGGGAAGGTCTCAGGTCTTCCTCCAGATGCCTCAGGGTACAGGCTGTGCGCATATGTGCCCAGGATATGCTAAGGCTACGGGGAGCGTGGTGTGAACACCTGCTGGGGTCTGTGTCTTTCTCTCTCTATGTATCACCTCTCCTCTTTCTATGACATCTTCAGTGATAAAATTACAGAGGTGGAAAACAGGTGAGTGGTTGTCAGGGCCAGGAAGTGGGTGGAGAGACAGGGAAATGGAGGAGGCTCTGTTCTTATGCTGATGGGAACGTCCCTGTCGGGAATGTCGCAATGTCAGTGCCCTTGTTGTGACATGTACTGTAGTTTCACGTGATGTTTCCTTGGGGGAACTGCGTAAATGATGCTGTTTTTTTTTTTGAGATTTTTTTTGCCATAGGGCGTGTGTGATCACCAGAAAGACAGAGACAGAGAGACAGGAAACGGGAAATCACCCCCCCAGGGGGGATGGCTATGCCGCAATCCCTTCTCCTCCATTCTCCTGTCGGGATTTTGGGCACGCACACACACGCGCCTGGTGTGAGTTTAAGCCACCGGGTCTGGGACTTGAACTACTGTCGACTACATGGTAGTCCAGTGACATAGCCATTATGCCAACTGCTGGTCCCAAAGCATATTATTCTTTAGAGCTGCATGTGAATCTGTCTCAAGTTAATTTGCTCCGTTGTCTTGAAATAAGTCTAATTAAAAAAATACTGTGGGCCCACCAGTGGTATGCATATTAAGGCCCTAGTTTCCCTCATAGCTGACTGCGGGTTGAGTCGCAGACTCAATGGCTTGAAAATCATGCCAGGTGCATGTGTGCGTGTGCCCAAAATCCTGAAAGGAGTGAGAATGGAGGAGAAGAGATTAAGGCGTGACCAGCTCCCATGGGGGTTGCATCCTCACTCCCTCAAACCCCACTCCTGGTATCTTTCTGGTGAGCACACCCACCCTCTGGCAAAAGAGTAATAATAATAATTTTTAAATATAGTTAAAAAAATTTCATGCAATGGGGCTGGCAGGGGGTATAGTAGTTAAGGGCGCTGGACTCCCACATGGCCGACCATGGTTTGAGTCCCAGACCTGGCCCCTTGCTTTCTCACTTTCTCTCCCACTCACGCTCTGTCCCTCTCTGATAAATTGAAATAAATAATCAATCAATAAAGTTACATAAAATAATTTTTAAAATTTTACAAGCAGTGAAAGGGCCTCTTTCAGGGCAAGCCCACTGATATTTTTCACAGTTGTGTAGACGAACCACATTGCTTTTCCACAATAGTAGAGTTCTGACTGAATTCTCCGAGCGTCTCACAACTGGGTGTTGCTTAATTACCGTGGACGAGACTAGGGCTGCCTCTCTGATGATCCTTATTATGGCAGTTTGCCCCTGTCCCCCATCCTGGCTCCGCTGGGCCGGGTCCCCTCTGTCTGCTCCCTGGAGGAGACCCCGTGGGTGAAGGTTGGTACCAGGCCTGGCCTCACTCATAACGGGCTGTGTCCACTCATGGCAGGAATCGAGCCCACTGGAAACATGGTGAAGCAGCCGGCCAAGTTCACCGTGGACACCATCAGCGCCGGGCAGGGGGACGTGATGGTGTTTGTTGAGGACCCCGAAGGGAACAAAGAGGAGGTAGGTGGGAGATGCTGTCTCTTCTGTCTGTATCCTGTGGGGTATTTGGGACTTAAAACAGGGCTGGGGATTGTGCCTCCATTTCCCTCCGAGTGGCTGCAGCCCAGACTGTTCCCTACCAAAAGGTTACCAAGACTGAAACTAGTTTGTCCGAGAGCTGTGCTTGGAAATAGAATATAATTCAACTCCTGAAGACACTGTTTAACACAGGAATAGACACTTTGGGTTTGGTATGGACTTGGCCAGTTGGGCTTTTAGATACGAATGGCCAGACAAGGTATTTCTTGCCCTCTGTCTTCCCAACACTGATTGCTCTTTGATTCCTCTCCCAGAGCCTTTGCACATGTCGGTCTTTCTCTGTTCACTTATTTGCTTAGATCCGTATTTCATTCTCAGCATTTTGTGCAATTGGAAACTCTAAGTTTTGGTGTCGGTTTTCCCTCTGGAGCAGAGTTTGGACCTGACTGGCTCAGTGGCCTGTTTTTGGTACCTCACAGGGGCCTGGTGTTTCATCAGCTGTCAGGAACTCCTGAGCCAGTAGAGGTCAAAGTCACTCCTTCTCAGTCTCTGTCACTTAGAGAGTGCCAGCCCTGAGACTGAGGGGCGCCCCGACTGTGTGCTTGTCCTTTAGTTTCTCTGACTTCAGGAGGCCACTCCCCCGCTGTGTGCTGTAGGAATGGCAGGGTAGGAAGTGGCCGGCACCCTCAGTGTTCCCGACCTGGCTGCGTGCTGCAGGGCCTTGGCTGACACAGCGTGCTCTTTGCTCACACCCGCTGCCTTCGCTAACTGTCACTCACTTTCCCCCCAGGCACACGTGACTCCCGATAGCGACAAGAACAAGAAGACATACTCCGTGGAGTACCTGCCCAAGGTCACTGGGCTGCACAAAGTAAGATGAGGCTTCATGGCCATGGCTGGGACTCCTCTGGGCTTGTCTCAGTGTGTGTAGAAGAAAGATATCTTGGGACTAGCAGTTAGCGTAATGGCTATGTCGCTGGACTCCCACGTAGTCGACCGCGGTTCGCGACCCGGACCTGGTGGCTTAAAACTCACGCTGGGCACATGTGCATGCGTGCCCAAGATCCCGAGAGGAGAATGGAGGAGAAGGGATTGCGGCGTGGCCATTCCCCCTGGGCGGTGATTTCTCGCTTTCTGTCTCTCTGTCTCTCTGTGTGTGTCTGGCGAGGGCACGTGCCCTATAGCAAAAAACCTCTTAAAAAAAAAAAAAAACAGGAGAAAGATATCTGAGGAAGAGCTAGTTTTCTTTCTTTTTCTTTTTCTTTTTTTTTTTTTTTAAGAGAGATTTTGGCTATCTGGCACAAGTGCTCGCTGGTGAGATATAGAGAAAGAAAGCGAGAATTCACACACACACACACACACACACACCCCACCCAGGACGGGCATGCCACAGTCCTTCTCCTCCGTTCTTCTCTTGGGATTTTGGGTGCGCACGTTTAAGCCATTGGATCTAGGATTTGAACCACAGTTGACAGTGTGGGAGTCCAGTGGTGTAACCATTATGTCATCTACTGGTCCCCATGACTCAAGTTTTAAATAGAAATCAATATACTTTGTCTAAGAATGATCTTAGCCCCTTGAAAAACACTTTGGGTTTGAAATCCTGAAGCAGTGTATTGTATTCTGGGACCACGTCCCTCTTTTCAGCCCCCTTTTAAGGACCAGAGTCAGTGATAAAATGTGAGTGCTCGTTTCCTAGGAGAGGGACAAAGGACGTCTGATGGCAGCGTTTTCAGTTTGTTGAAGGCATGCTGTCCCAGACCCAGCTGCCTGGCTGATGGCACCAGGAGGGAGTTCCATTCAGGCCTGGAACTTGGTTCCCTGGCTCCTGGTTCCAGCCACTTTTGTTGTGCAAACATGGTGGGGGGGGGGGAAGGTTGTCAGTGTGTCTGGCCTGATGGCCTCATGGTCTGTCTGGATGTGGGAAGCAATTATACCTCACCTGCTTGTCCCCTGTAGGTCACAGTCCTCTTTGCAGGACAGCACATCTCCAAGAGCCCATTTGAAGTGAATGTTGACAAGGCCCAGGGGGATGCCAGTAAAGTGACCGCGAAAGGCCCCGGGTTGGAAGCTACGGGGAACATCGCCAACAAGCCCACCTACTTCGACATCTACACGGCAGGTACCGTCTCCTCCATAGGCCAGACCTGTGGGCTTTCCTCCCCAGCCTGAAACACCATCCACAGGAGCTTGAAGGCCAGGGATGGTCACCTTTTGTCTTGTACCTGAACAAACGACAGAAATAACTTATTCAAATATCTCATATTTTTCACATGTTTCAATACTAGCTTTTCTTCTCAAAAACCTTATACTCAGGCTTGACTTAGATGGAATTGATAATCAATTTCTGTACACATCTCTGCCTTCATTAAATATCCCAAGCCTTCATTAAATATCCCAAACATTCTAAGAAACTGGGGTGAAACTTTGGTGTGAATCTTCCTGAGCGCCCCTCTGTCTCCTCCTGTCTGTCTTTTGCACTCAGCATGGTGAGTTTTTGTTTTAATCGCCACAGGGTATGTGCATTCAATGAGAAAGAGCGAGTGAGAAGGCACTCCATGATGGGACGTGTTCACCCCACAATCCCTCCTCCATTTCCCCCTCTTGTCAGGATTCTGGGCATGCATGCACATGTGCCTGATTTGTTTTCAGTCCATGGGATGGGATTCAACTCCTGGTGAGCCATGTGGAACCTGGCTCTCTTACTCACTAGGCCGGGAGCCAGCCCCACAGTGAGCCTTCTGGGAGAGGGTTGGCTCATGGAGTGCTCGTTGTCCCGCAGGAGCCGGCGTGGGTGACATCGGTGTCGAGGTGGAAGATCCCCAGGGGAAGAACACTGTGGAGCTGCTCGTGGAAGACAAAGGAAACCAGATGTACCGCTGCGTGTACAAACCAGTGCAGCCCGGCACCCACGTGGTCAGGGTCTCCTTTGCCGGGGATACCATTCCCAAGAGTCCCTTCGTTGTGCAGGTTGGGGAAGGTGAGTGTTGGAGGGACTGACTGTGTCTGCTTGGAGGCTGACTGCACCAAGGGACACTGAGACCCAGAAAATGGGCCCATTGAGCTCACACCTTTTCCGTTTCAGCCAGGGCCACTGCAGCAGAAAGTGGCTTACTTTGTCCCCAGGACATTAGTACGCATGTCTTCTGTGAGTCACGCAGATGCCTAAATGCTTTACTTACATTCACTCACTGAATCCTCCCCAAAGCACGCGACAGGAGAGTCACTGTCCTCTGTGAGAGGTGCACCATGGAGGCAGTTGGAGGGATGGCCTCTATGACAAGGTAGCAGCAGCAACAGGGGCCCCGGAGCGTCCTCTGCTTGGCCTTCCCTCGCTGTGGTCTCTGAGCACGATGGCAGCTAATCGCCACACCAGCCCATGTGTCACCGGTGCCATCATTTATCCATCCCACTTCGTAGGTGGAGACACCGAGGCTTAGAGGACAGAGGGTACCCTGAAGTCCTGTGGGGCAGGAGGGGGAGAGCCGTGGTCTCTCGTGACCCTGCCCTCACTGCTCTGCTGGGCCCCTCCTACCGCCAGGGGCACGTGTTTTTCCGTTAGACTCTTTCCTTCTGACTTTGTTGCCCTTTGTTTTGTTTTCTGACTGCGCTGCCTTTTCTAACCGGTACTTGCCTTTTCCTGTTCTGTCCTCCTCATCTGCATCTGCAGACGTGGCTCCCTCCTCTGAATCCTGCCTCTGGGCCAGCCTGGACCCCGCCGCTGTTGGCTTCCTAGTGGGGAGTCTTGGGCTAGAGGCCTCTTGCTTGGTAAGGGCCGGTCGAGTGGGCGCTCCTTGTCAGTCCTTTGTGCTGCTTGAAAGTGTCACCCAGCCTGTGTCGTCTGTGACTCCAGGGAATTCCTGTGCAGGCTTTATTGCAACTTGTCCAGCCAGACTCTTAACCCACTCTGATGGCAGCTCAGCCTCTGTAAGGCTTCGCCAGATGGCGAGGACCTGGGTGGTTTCCTTCCAACACGTTAGCTCCGTTTAGTGTTTATATGAATGAGCGGGTACTCTTTTGAGGTGGAAACGATATTTGACATGCTCACGATTTCCATGAGTGTGCATGCATGTGTGTGCGTGTGTGCGCGTGTGTGTGTGGAGTGTAGATACGTTTAGACCCTCTGAGGAAGTCCTGTCATTCCGGTGTGATTTATTTCTGATCTGGCCAACTTTGCTCCCCTTGACAAAGAGGAAACAAAAACAACAAAATCCTCTGACATATTCACAAGACACAAGACATAATGAGACCAAAGCTAGGCAGGATTTGGGGCAGGCTTTCTAGTTCTGCAAGTGTTTCCCACTATGTCACTCGCGACCTACCTTTATCCTTTCTGGATGTCCTTCCATCTGTCACTTACACTAGTTCTTTTTTTTTTGCTATAGGGCACGTGCGCTTGCCAGACAGAGAGAGACAGAGAGACAGAAAACGAGAAATCACCCCCCAGGGGGGATGGCCACGCCACAATCCCTTCTCCTCCATTCTCCTCCTGGGATCTTGGGCATGCACGCACACGCGCCCGGCGTGAGTTTTAAGCCACCGGGTCCGGGACTTGAACCATGGTCGATTACGTGGGAGTCCGGCGACAAAGCCATTTCACTAACTGCTGGTCCCTACACTAGTTCATATTTAATCAATAGACTTCTTTGAATTTATGAAGTCCCCCCTCAATGATTTTATTGGGTTGTCAGAAAATTCACATTTTTGCATCGAAAAGAAAAGTAATGACTTTTTCACTGACCCAACATATTTGTATTTTATATTAAATTTGGTATTGCTTTCAAAATGGGAAACCAATGTTACTTGGTTCTAAAGTGCTACCACACACTTCGGTTCACCCACGACCCATCTGAAATCCTCCCTAGCTTCAAGGCCGTGTGTGTGTGCCTCTTTAGGAAGTACTCGTTTCCAGATAGACAGCCGAGGGCTCTGCAGGGAGGTGGAGACGGGGAGGAGGTAGTCCCTGCGTGGGTTAGAATCTCGTCCTCCAGATTCCGCGACCTCTCGTGTATGGAGAGCTGTCAGATGTGCTGAGTCAGATCTGGAAAAGCCTCTTCACGAGCAACACATTTTACCTGTTCATCTCCCACTTGGACTTAATATGGGTGTCCGTGCTGAACAAAGAATTCTGGGGCACCCAGGCATCTTTTACCAACCTCTGCCTGACTCCATGGAGCAGTAGTTTCACGGTCCTCTCACATAGCGATATTAGAGGCTACCCCTGTCCTATATTTTATACTTAGAATTTTAGGGTTTTTAAACTAGACCCGGAAATCAAATCAGGAATGACATTTCCTGCTAACAGTTGCTCTCGAAGACACCCACGTTTCGAGGGCACCGTAACAGACAGCGTTGGCCGGCCTTGGCCAACTGGGCTGATCTCGGCCCCATGGAGCTTCTGTTGTCCGTGCCTGGCTATCCGTGCAGACGACAACGTTGACGTCTAGATTTTGAGAAGTGGCTAGCCCAGGACTTAGAACTCACTCAGCCATTTCCAGGCACTGCATTTCCTAAATAGACTTGAAAAAGTCCAGCCTTCCCAATTCCTGGGCCCTGGAGTATGGCAACAAGGTTTGAACAATGTCCAACACTCCCTTTTTTTTTTTTTTT